GAAAGAGATGGTCAGGTATGCTACCATATTCAACTTTCCAGTGACTTCCCATTATTTCATGCATTCATTCAACAAATATTTATTGAGTGCCAACTGTGCGCCACTGTTCTAGATGCTCAGATTGTGGCAATGAACAAAACAGGCCTCGTGGAGCTTACATTCTCCTTGGGAAAAAAAGATGGTAGCCACATAGGGAAATAGATTAACATGTGAGATGGTGATAAGTGCTATGCCGAAAAGAAAGCATGAGGGTGGGTGATGTGCTTGCCAGTTTATATAGAGTGGTCTGGGAATGCCTCACGAGTAAGGGGACGTTCGAGCGGAGACCTCACTCAGAACATCCCCCTCCCCTTGGCCTACCAGGTCCTCCATGGCCACCCTGGCCTGGCTCTGACCTCTCCCCACCGCTCTCTGCTTCACCACTCTGCTCCAGGCACACTGGCCTTCTTGCTGTTCCTCAAACCTGCCAAGCTCGTTCCTACCTCAGAACCTTTTCGCTTTCCGTTCCTTCTGCCCGGAAACCTCTTCCTCCAGATCTTCGCATGGCTCGCGTCCTCACTTCATTCAGGTCTCTGCTCCAGTGTCCACTCCTCAGGGAGGCGCTCCCCAACCACCCTGCCTTCATAGTACTCCCTGCACACCACTCCACCCCCTCGCCCTGCCTTAGTTTTCTCCTGGTGTATATTACAACATGACCTTATATTTGTTTGTTCTGTCTCTCTGACATGCAAACTCCATGAAGACAGGGCTTTTGTCTTATTTATCACTGTGTCCCAACATTCACTACAGTGGTGCTTACTACATGTATTTTGAGTCCTTGTTTTGATAGTAATGATTGTGACATTTTCTTTTCTAAACTGCTCATTCCTGGGTAGTGTGGTGGGGATGTCTCCTCTCTATATTCCAACTGAGCTAAGCAAATAGGACTGGTTGTAAAGGGAGTCCTGATGTGTTTGATCTGTCTCTCTTAGAATTGCTGTGTTTTCTGTGTCTGTATTTTATGATGAGCGCATTGTGGTGGTTGCGGAACAAAGGCCCGACGCTTCTGAGGAAGATAGTTTCCAGTGGATGAGCCGTGTGTTGCAGGTGAGCACACCTTGGGTCTTTGTCGGGGCAGGTTGGCTTTGTTGTCAGAGGTGGCGGCAACCACTGCTTAAGCAGTTTTCTTTGATGAACTAGTTATGCCACCTTATTTTTTTCTTGCTAATCACTACTTAATATTCTGGATACTATTAGAAGAATCAGATAACTAATACCATTTCTCCTTGTGAACCATATATTATTTTTCTGCTCAGGTTGCCAAAAACAATTAAATTGACTTGCCTCACAAATCCTTTTTGGTGCCTGACTGTTTACAACCTATGAAAGTTTTAACTGTCCATATGTGGAAGACATCTTTGACAGTAGTCAATCCACTTGTCAACAACTATAATCTCACTATATGCTGTACGTGGTGCTTAGAGTGCAAGGGATCTAAGAAAATATAAGATGTTGTTCCTACTTTGAAGAGGCCTTACTGTGGAGTTAGAGATCTAGGTGACATAAACCATTAGGGAAAAAGAAAGTATAAGGGATATGTTTCTAGAGGGGTTAGGCTAGAATGATGGAAAGAGCTTAGTCACCATTTAGAATCACACTTAGAATCCCAGCTCCACTCCCTGCTACATCTGTGCCTTTAGGCAAGTTACTTAACCTCTGTGGGCCTATTTCCTAACTCAGAAAGTGGGTATAAAATTATCTAATTTACAAAGCTGTTAGAAGGGTTAATTGATAGTGATTAGATAATTGAATATTTAGTGCCTGCCTTCAGTAAATGATGTTAGTGGTTATTATTAATAGCAAAAATAACAATCATAAGCATAATCTCCAATAAGGAGTTTGGAAAGTCCCACTCTATCTTAAATAACATTTCCTTTCACTCTGTCCCTTCACTCTGTTTTTCTGCTTAGTATTTATCTCCCTTTAAGTATGTTTATGTTTATTTTGTTCTACATCCACTATAATATAAGCCCCGTGAAGGCTAAGACTTTATCTCTTTTGCTCCCTGCTCAGTCCTCATAACCTGTTAGGTGGGCCAGCACATCATCATAGTAGGCTCAGTAAGTGTTTGTTGGATAAATGGAGGGTCCAAAGAAAGCATAGACTGTCCTTGCCATAGCAACTTACCAGTTATCGTGAGTGTTCCCAGCATCTATAACTTGTCTGCTTGGGGCATTTGGATTTATTAACTGCCAGTTAGTAGTAATGTAGAAATGATGCAAGTGTGAGAAGAATGAAAAGATTTCTTCCTATCCTCAGGATCTGTGATTTTGAATTATCAGCGGGTATGGCAAAGGCTATTTGTAATAGAAAATCAGAGAAAAGAAAGAGAATCTACTGAAGATAGACTAGACAGCAAAGACTGTGAGGAAGGCATGACTGGGCTGATCTCTGAAAGATGGCTAAGAATCAGACCTTCAAAGAGAATAATTTCTATGCTGTTCATGTTTTCAAACAAACTGCTTATTTCATTCAGAATGAACTTTGGAGTGTAATGGTGAATCTTGTGAATTATACATTGTTTTCCTATTATACGAAACTGAAATTCCCCAAGATGTTTGTTACTTTTCCCTAGAAAGCAACTATAAGAATTAAATGCAGTGCTAATTTACTACCCAAATTCTTGTAAAAGTCATTGGAAGTCTGATTTGGGCATGAAATAAGAGGGCATTATTTTCCCAGTCTCTGTAGCTTCTCAGCTTGGGACACTTGGATCCGTAGTAGAACAGAAAGGATATCATATGTTCTGGTTGGAAGAGAGCAGAAGTTGTTTAATTCCGGGTCCATGTATAATAATCTAAATACCTAACTCAATACCTTCTAAGGAATGTGGTCAATAGATGACTTAACAGATGGTGTGTTTTCAGTGGGGAAGCCAGGCTACATTTGCTAACTTTCTGTATATTCTCAAATACCAGAGACTTAGGAACTCTGCCAGACCTGCCATTTCCCAGTTGTTTCTGTGGGTTAGTAGGATAGTCTGGGGAGTATTGATTTTCAAGTTTATTCCTTTGACCTTTAAGTTGTTTCAATGAAGGACCTTGTTCGTATTTTATGACTGTGGTGCATTCTTCCTCTAAGGCTGTATTGCCTTTTCAGTTAAGACTTGTGGTTAATACAATAGAACCCTCTCAACTGGATTGTTTGGAACTGGTATATTTGGTTAGTTTCAAAAGGTAGTTGAAGCAAAAACATAAAAATAAGAAATTCTTCAAGTATTAAATTTTAACACAAAACATAAATGTGCATTCACTTCATGTAGAGTAGTGTGTGTGCAAATAAAGTATACCTGTTTGAGTTTTAGGTCAATTTTTTTCTATAAACTACATCCAAATGCATTGTCTTTGGTTTCTGGTTCCATTTCTTTTAAGTTAGATGAGAACACCAGTATTTGAAAAGGGACTGGAATACATAGTCCTTACCTTTTAAAGTTAACTTGTCTACCTATCAACAGTAGTTTTTTAGGAGCTCACTTTTAATGAGCCTTTTCAAAGCCTAACTCTTTCTGTCATTTTGCACTCATATTCTATCAGTCAACTATTAAATTATGTGAGCACAATAACAAGAACAGTTGGCATAAAAGGTATAGAAGCAAGCACAGCTGACACTAGGCAAGCACACAGGTGTGTGGCTGGAAGCAGGATGCACTGAGGGAGCTGGTGGCCTCCAAGGCTCAGTGTGTGGTAGGCCTTGCCTGGATGTTTCGCACAGGAGAGTCCTGTTAACCTGGTGAACCACTTAAGCAGGGGCCCCCTTACAGAGCTTCTTTTGTGTTCATAATAAAAATATTTGCCTCTATTTAACTGAGCTACATTGGACAGCTAAAATATTAAAAGAACCAAAGCAAATTTCTAGGTTTTTTTTTTGAAATTGTCATTCAGAGAAAATACTGAGGCTTGCAAATCAGTGTCCACCTCTGTTCATTTAGAGCGTATCTTACCCTTCTTGTGTTGTCCTCTGCCATCACTGAAAGGATTAGGTACCTTGAGATGTATAAGATCTTAATAATCTAGATGTATAGGATCTAATAATCTAGGTCTAGCTAGATTCTAGACCTAGATAGAGAAAGAAAGATCCTAGACTAGAATAATTATATAAGGAGGATATCAAATATAGTAAAATTAATCTCACTGAATATTTTTTTTTGTATTTTTCTAGGCAATCGATAGCATTCATCAAGTGGGGGTTTATTGTCTTGCTCTGGTGCCTGCTAATACATTGCCAAAAACTCCACTAGGAGGAATCCATATATCTCAAACAAAACAGCTCTTTCTAGAGGGATCTCTGCATCCGTGCAATATCCTCATGTGCCCACATACATGCGTGACCAATTTGCCAAAACCCCGGCAAAAGCAACCAGGTAATATGCTGGCTTTGAAGATGTAATATTAAAATTTTAACTTCAAGAAACTGAGTTCTTTCAGCATGATTCTTTTTCCAGAATTAGACCTTATAAAGATTAGCAACATAGGAATAGTTATCAGCTGACTGCAAGCAAGGAGGACTGAGACCCTGTGGAAAGGCTCCTCTGGATCTACAGTTGGCTCCCTCTCCTGCATAATTCTTAGTAATGTTCCTCCATTTCCCCTGGATATAAGGTATGGGGTCAAGATGATCAGAATCTCACTTGTAGAAATAGAATAAAGCAAGCCCTATAAGGGAAGGTTCTGATCATCAGAGTAGCTAGTAGTTATTGGCTTACTAAAAGCCAAATATTAACTAATTTTTACATTTTACAAATGTGATCCTAAGGCTTTGCCTCCAGCTGTGGAAAGTAAAGAAAAGTTAAGAATTTTGCCCAAACTAATATAGCTAGTTAGTGGTAGAAGTGAGATTCATACTAATTGTGACCCTAAAATCCATACTCTGAATCACTGTTGTACTGCTGTTCTGTTGAGACTCTGTTACCTAGAGTCATCCCTCGTTCCTTTGTAGCTTTCAGAGATTTAGCCTGTAACACCTCTGAGGGGGCGAGATACTTAATTCAGAAATTTCCTGGATTGTAAGCACAGAAAAATAACATGTTTGGCATTTGCCGTATTCTTATGAATTCAACATGCAAATAAGAGTATGTGAATTGTCATATGGAAAAGAGGGGAAAAAACCAAGTAGTCAATTTCACTTTTTTTCTTAATTTTTGACCAGACCTAGGTTATAGTGCTATGTAGGAGGCCAAAAGTAGGAGTTATTGATAGTCATGTTAAACTATTGATTCAATCCAACATGAAATCATTACATTTTATTGATGCTTTTTCATTTTAATTGAAAAGTTAATGAGAGGTTCCTGGTTTCCCGTATGCCTGAAAACACATGAGAGCCAAAATCTGGCCTTTACAGATCCTGCTGCCATCACACATGCACTCACAAACAGATACACTGTGTTTGTCAGCACATTAGCCTCCAGATGTGGTGGGAAGTGAAGATAAAGGTGGGAAGATTAGGAAGGAAAAGGGGAACATGGCATTTAATTATATTTCTGTGAGACAGCTTTTGCTGAAAGGTAAGCATGTACAATAATAAAATATATGTAAGCTTCTGACTTTCTAGGATATTTTTATCAGGATATTAAAATGTTAATAACATACTCTGCTCTGCAGTAGTTATTACTTCAGTGGTCTAGTGGCTAAGAGCATATCACAATTGTTTATCTAGATGTTATTGTTTACTCACCAACTAGCCTTATCTTAGTAACTGTGAGTATAGAGCTAAAGTATATGTGATATTTATCTATCTCTGCTAGTAGAAATAAAAGTTTATGAAGGCTAATATTCTAAAGGGGCAGTTAAAAATCCAGAAGTATTTATATTACTAATCAAGAAATATGTTAAAAGAAGTATCTTCATATTACTTGCCTAAGTATCTGACAAATATATAAAACAAAACTTCTCCATCTCAAATCCTGTTATGTTGAAGGCCTATATTTGTCATGAGTAAAATCCTATTTTAAATAGCACTTAATCTAGAATTACTTTAACAAAACTTCCATGTCACAGTAGATGCTTAAAGGATGTTAATTAGAGACAGTAGATGCTTAAAAACATTGCTTTTGCTAGCCAGTTTTCAATCAATTTTATTGAATGATAAAACCTACATAAAATATTTATTCTAAGCCCACATAGGCATAACATCCACCTGTTTGATCAAAGCATTAGGTTTGGATTCTGCATTTTTGCTGTCTGTTGTGATTGCCTGCTAAGATCTTAGTGGGATACGTATGGGTCAGACCAAAGCAGTTGGAAAATCATGGCATAGGCAAGGTAGAGACTATGTGGGGATAGTATGACAGTTTGGGGTTTAAGAAAAATACAGAAAGTGGAGATGAGTAGGAGTGAGATAAAGAAAGGAAAAGATGGAAAAGAAGATGGAAAAACTGTTGAAGCAGACCAGTGACAAAAATATCATTGAGATGCCATTGGAGCTATTATGTAAGCAGGGGTCCCCAAAGCCCGGGCTTTGGACCAGTACCTGTCCGTGGCTTGTTAGGCACCCGGCCACACAGCAGGAGGTGAGCGGCGGGTGAGGGAAGAAGCTTCATCTATATTTGCAGCTGCTCCCCAGCACTAGCATCACTGCCTCAGCTCCACCTTAGATCATCAGGCATTAGATTCTGATAGGAGCACCAGTCCCTGGTGCCAAAAAGGCTGGAGACCGCTGATATAAAGAATGGGAATGTGTTAGGACTGGTTTTGACTGCAAGTTTTAGAAAAACAGAGCAGCATCTTAAACAGGAAACAAGTTTATTTCTTTCCCAGGTAAAAAATTCAGAGCTAGGCAGCCTAGGACAAGGATGGTGGCTCCTCAATCACCATAGTTCCAGCTTCCCATCTTTTTGTTCTGGCATTATATCAATCATTTGTTTTTATAGATATGCTGTATACCAAATAATTCTAAAACTCAATGGCTTAAAGCAAGAAGCATTTATTTTTCTCTCATGGGATATAGATCTGCTGAGCTTAGCTGGCATCAAATGGGCTTGGCTTGGCTCCAGGCTGTAGGTTAGGTTCGGAACTATTCCATGTGCCTTCTCATCATGGGACCAGCAGCTCCCTGGGCCATATTTTTCTCAAGGGAAATGGCAAAAGCAAGAAAACAAGCCAAACCACACAAGTATATTGATACTTGTTTGTATCATGTCTTCTAACATTTCATTGTCCCAAACAAATCAGACCATACTCAAGATCAATGGAGCAAAGAGGTATTCTCCTCCCATGTAATCACAGCAATCAGAGAGGAAAAGAAAGATTGTAAAAGAAAATAATAATAATAATACAATCTGCCACAGTCATTTGTAGCACACTATCTCAGTCCAGTTAGGCTCCCTGACCACCAGCCATCATTCCTGCATTTTAGCTAAGAGGTGGGAGAAAAAAGCAAAGAAGGGAATACCCTCCCCCTTTAAATATTTTTTTTAGAAATTACATATATTATTACATATTATTATCCCATACTAAAGGATATAGTTTTTATTCCAGGCATTTGCCCAGCTAAAAACTGGGCATTCTGTTTTTAAGAAAGAAGAAGTGAATAGATATTGGGGTTGATGACTAGCAATCTTTGCTACAGGAAATTTACAGTTTTGTGAGAAAAATAAGGCATATTTACAGGTACAACAAAGTATCAGCAGTTAGCCTTCTAGATGTTATTGCTTTCAGTTATTTTTCACTCTCTGTGACCCAAAGTCTCAAGAAATACACACAGAAGAACCTAAGAAAATGCTGCCGAATTATTTTTGGAGTTTTAAACTACTCTGAAAAGTTCACTTTGTAAAATGTCACACTTACTTTGCAGTGTGAATCCAGAATCGGGCAATTTACACAGTCAAATACACAGAGGCCCTGTCTATATAAAAGCATATTTCCAATTTGATGTATCTGTAATTTGTTATGCAGTTTCTTAGGAAAGAATTTTGCATATTATACTTAAAATTGCAACACTTTGTAAACTAAAAATGTTCAGCAGTCAGAGTGATGGAGTACTTTACCCTTTTTGAATTTTTATTTGATGTTTACAAAATTTTCAATGTTTTATTTTGAAATAATTTCACACAAAAAAATGTTGCCAGATAGTACAAAGAATTTCCTTGTACCCTTGACCCAGTTTCCTCAAATATTTAAAAGTGATTCTACAATTTAAGTGATTTTTTTTCCCCAGCTGTTTCAGTATATTCAGGATCAACAGATTTTGGCAATAAAAGATTTAATATTAATCTCAGCATAGCATCAGCATTATTCAAAACTCAGCTGGCAATGTTATCTTTCAGCCATCTTCTTAGTTTTATTCAGTAGAGTCTTAATCAAGTGACCACCAAGAAAGGCATGTAGGACATTAGCTTTTTTTTTTTTGAGAGAGAGAATTAGAGTTCTTTTTATTTTGAAGTATTAAACCTATGGAAAAGTTGAAAGAATAGTATAACGAACACTCATATCCCTTCCCATAGATTCACCGATTGTTAACATTTTTTTTACTGAACTCTTTGAAAATGAATTGCAGATGTCATGACACTTCATCCCTATGTATTTCAACAGTGTATCTCCAAAGAACAAAAACATTCTCCTAGAATTTTCCTAATCAACCACAATGCTATTATCCTATTAAGAAATTTAACCTTAATATATTTTCATCTTATAATACACAGTCCATATTCAAATTTCTCCACTTGTTTGTTATAGCTGATTTTTTTAAAAAAATTCCAGGATCCATTAAGGATTATGTATTGCATTTGGCTGTTGTGTCCTTTAATTTAGAAGGTCCTGGCCTTATTTTGTCTTTAAGACATGGATGTTTTTGAAGAATCCAGGCTAGTTGTCTTGTAGAGTGTCCCACAGTGTGGGTGTCATTATTCATTTTTAATAAAGCACTTCTGATATTCCTGATGAACCCACTCTCAGTCCAGGTAGATGGCAGATTTCTTTCCAGACTAGTTATTCATTACTGTTAAGCTCACTTTTAGGGTTGTATTAGGATTAGAGCAGTAGGAACCAAGGCAACCAACTGTCACCTCCTTAGAGTGAAAACTCTCCTATACCTAAGCTGCAGGAGCCCACTCGCTCCCCTCTACCCACTAATCCCCAGCTCTCCTGTGGTCCTGTTTTGATTTTGTATTTATTTGTGTATGTACATATGGGTCGCCTTTTCCCGCTAGAATTCAAGCTATTTGTCTTGCTTGCACCTGTGTTCCCAGTGTCTAGAAGAGTGCTCAATCTGTTTGAACCAGTCTGGAAATGCTTTAGGGTAAGTATTTGAATTACCATCTCCAGAGAATTGATTTTTACCTTTACTTACAGGTGTAGGCCCTGCTTCTGTGATGGTTGGGAATCTGGTTGCTGGAAAACGCATAGCACAAGCTGCAGGAAGGGATCTCGGGCAAATTGAAGAGAATGATTTAGTGAGGAAGGTAAGTGTTCCAGAAGTGTTGATTTTTACAAGCAAGTCAAAGACAGAACTTAAACTTCCGGTAACAGATGTGAGATGTGTTAACCAACTTTTAAAAAGTTGCTGACTCTGATACTTTTTTCTGCTTTATGACTTTAGCACCAGTTCCTAGCGGAGATTTTACAGTGGCGAGCCCAGGCAACTCCTGACCATGTACTCTTCATGCTGTTAAATGCAAAGGTATGAAAAATTCAGTGGTATTTCAAATCAGTTGAATATTGTGGGAGTATCTTAGGCACTGTTGACCTTTCTCTTATCAGAAAATTTCTGTTGCCAACTCTGAGGGAGGAGTTACTGCTTTCTCCTTGTTATGACATTTGAGGATAAATTGTGCAATCACTTTAAGGTTGAAATGAGACCTCCTAGAGTGCTATTTAATACTGTCTCTTCTTATGTTACAATCCAGTCATCTTTATTCAATTCTGATAAGAACAGTGGGGCCAACAATGAAATTACATAGATCTACAGATGTATAAAATGCATTATGTCATGTGATTTTTTTTTCCGCTCAATTTGACTCTTAATTTTTTGATTTCTGCCAGGAAGAAAGTGACTTTAGGTCAACATTTGAAAAACCGAAGTTATTTTTGGTACAAACTTAAGTGATTTATTATTTAACAGATAAAAAGCAAATTGAAAACTATTGAAGAGTATATTCAACTATTGCTTTCTAATGATGGTTCAGCATATTTTTTAAGTTATACAATCTGTGGGAGTCTGCTGAGATCTGTTTGTTTTAATGGCTGAGTCAAAAGCTAAAAGTACTGTGACAATAGCATGTAACAATATTTCTCACCAGCAAGGGGAAGACTGCAGAGCCTATTGGAATTTCTTAGGAAAGACCCAAATTGCCCCCATGTGCCCCGGCCCCCCTAGATTCTAATATATTTTATGCACACATATACACACCTTTGAGAATTTATGCAGTGATGGAACTTAGTAAGAGGAATATGCTGGGCATCTTAGTGAGAAGTCATGAAAAACCTTGAGAACCATGGGTATATGGTAGAAAACTTTGGGACTTCCTTGCTCCATCTCTGAATTCATTAGGGTCCATTTCAGTAAGAAGATGTCAGTCCAGCTTTCTTTCCATTCCACTTCTAAGCTTGGCTGCAGTCAAAGTTATAGCCCTGTAAAATGTCTACCCCAGATATTTGTTAGTGAGTATAAGTTTAAATTTGCTTCTTGATTAGAGAAGTAATATATATGGATGACTAAAGGACATGCAGTCTGTTTAGTCTTCTTCATATTCTAACATTTTACCTTGGTTTAGGTCAGACCACCAGAAATCTTAGTAACCATGTAACATTGTTACCTCACGCCCAGAAAATTGTTTTTACTGAAGTTTAGTTTGCTGCTATACCATGGACCAAAAAAGAATATAAGAAATGGCCTTATGAAATTAGCCTGACTTTAGCCAAAGAAATATTCATTTTGGTGTTATAATACTAATGTCCAGCAGCAGAGAGTTGACTAAATAAATTGGCATATAAACATGATGAAATACTATTTAGCCATTCAAAACAATGTTATAGAAGAATATATAATGACCCAGAAAATATTCATGATGCGTAAGTAGAAAAAAATAGGATATATAAAACTTTAATAATTAAAAAAAAAACTTCAATAATAATTGAGTACTTAATGAAGACCTTGTTCTGGGTGCTTTATATTTCATAGTTCATTCCAAGGTTGAGGTAACTGGGGCACAGAGACATAAAATAACTTGCTTCTGGTCACAGAGTTAGTAAGTAATAAGGCTAGGAAATTAGCTCTTTGATTTGAACCCAAACTAGCTTCAGAGCCCACATTCTTAACTAAGGCACTACACAGCCTCTGGCAGATAGTATAATATACCATTTTTTAAAATACCACTTGAGAATTTATATATAATCCATACTCAGTTTTTAAAAAAACAGAAAAATATACACTGAAATGTTAATAGTGGTTACATCTTATATTTATTTACCTATATTTTCCAAATTTTCTATGCTAAACATGTCTTATTTTATATTACTGAAATAAAAGTTAGTTTTAAAATAATCTTAAGTAAAACTTATTTTCGTCATGAGGTTTTTTGAGACCTACCGTTAAAGTAATGAAGAACATGTGGTATTGGCAGGACAGATAAAGAACAATTTGTCATTAAGTTGAAGGTAGGCATACCCAATGATTCAGCATTTCCATTTCTAGTTCTATACCTGACCAGGCTTATATATTTATACACTAGGAATTGTACAAGAATGAGTGTCCATCAGCAGTAGAATGGATTAATAAATTGTTGTATGTTCATACAATTAAATATACAATAATAAAAATAAATGAGCTATACCTAGGCCCAGTAGCACAGATGACTTTTAATGTTGAGAGAAAGAAGCAAAACACAAAAGTATATACAGTACAATTCCATTTCTGTAAAATTCAAAAATGTCATGAGTGATAAAAAGAAATCAGCAAGTAACATTAAAAAGTCAAGAAAGTGGTTAGAGATTTTTTTTGGGAAAGAGAAGGCTGATCTGAGGAGACTCACATAGGTGCTTTTGAGCTGCTGGCAGTGGTCTTTTTCATGTCATGCTGGTTCTTATACAGATACTTGCTTTATAATATTTCAGTAAGTTATACATTTATATTTTATGTATTTTCCCAGTAACTGGAAATTTTTACAAGGGAAAAGGGATTCAGAAAGCGCAGCTCAGTGAAACTTGAATTGATAATAAAGATATTTATGAAGACCCACAGGAGAAATTATTCTCAGAATCAAAAATAGTTGGCCATTTTCTAATCTGCTAATCTTTATTATTAGCTAGTGACTGATTCATTGTTACTGTTTTGTCTATATCTTTGCCGTTAGAACTTCAGAGACAAATTTGTGCTTCATGTCCAGCAAATGCACATGACCACATGACCACATGGCCAGCATTTATTATCCTGACCTCACTCTTGCCCTCAGCCTGCTTTATTTCCCCTGTTTTCCTTTTACTCTTATTTCCTCATTTAACTAAAAAATTCTTGTCTATTTTTAAAGCTATCTTAAACAAGAATGACTGTATGTTGATTTAAGTTAATGTTGATATTCCCTAAGTACTTTTAGACATTGAAAAAGAAAAGGAATACCATATATATCTTTTAACACTAGAGGGAATTTTCACTGAAATTGATAACTAGCTAAAAATAATCTACTAAGGCACAAGCCTTTTAGGTATTATGTCAAATGGGCTATACTTGTCACTGTTTTATTTTATTAATGAGCTTTGACCCACTATACTTCCTTCTGTTTAAAGGGCACTGCTGTGTGCACAGCTAGCTGCCTTCAGCTTCATAAGCGAGCAGAGAGGATTGCATCAGTTCTTGGTGATAAGGGACATCTAAATGCAGGAGACAATGTGGTATTGCTCTATCCACCTGGTAAGTGTTGGTAGACTTCATTACTAGACTACAAACTATAAGGACAGGAATGCAGGGCCACCATATATGACCATGTAGGCTGTGCACGTCTCAACTCGGGGAGTACCATGCACATGGGCTGAGGTCCATATATGACCATGTAGGCTGTGCACTTCTCAACTCGGGGAGTACCATGCACATGGGCTGAGGTGTGAACCAAGCCTCACCCCCAGAGTCATGCAGCACAATGGCTTGGCTGGGACTGCGACTGTTGTATTTACTCTTGTATGTATCTAGCATAGCGCCTGGCACTAGGGTATATCTTGAATGAATGAAGACTTCCTGACTTTTGGAAACTCTCAAAAGAGGTGCTTTGTTTCTAGGAGTGTTCAGGAATGGGGCCATTTCACCCAGTTTCCTAAAGAATGTTGTACGTGCATTCTTTTGACTTTATACTCTTCATATCATGATTGATGTTTAGTATTCCTCAATTATTGCTGCTTTCATCTTCCATGCTCTAACAACTTTTTTTTTTTCCAGTAAGAGGAACTCAGAATTATTTGATGACAGTTTGGTATAAATATTCAAATTTTTAGATGAAATATTTGAGTCGTCCCTTTCTTTGTCCTTCTGCCACCTAACCCACTTATACATCCAGCCTTCTTTGGTCTTTTATCCCCTTTAATTCATTTTTCTCTGTGATTTCTATGCTATTTACATTAATTCTAAGATTTCTTGGAAGGTCATTTGGTAAAGGAATTTTTCCTGTGGGGTTCCTATGAGATTGTCTTCCATCTACCAATTAATGACATGTGATGGATCAGAACCCTTACTGAGGAGGCCATCCTCCAAGTTCCAGTATTGCAGGGTCTTCTCGACATCCAGTCATGCTTTGTCTCCTGAAATCTTGCACCCACTGATGGAGTGAGATCTCAGAAGTCTAATTGCTCCTCATATAGCGGCCTTCTAAATATTTAGAGAAAACTCAGGTGTTCCTCATCTCTCTTTTCCCCATTCTTTTATTTCCCAAGTTCATCCCTAATTTCTGCAGTTATTCCTCCTAATATCAAGTAGTGATATGAAAATACCTTCTTCAGGTATCTTTCAAGAGTTTTCTTCTGACTTCCTTTCTTGTTATTTATTCTTGGCTTCTCTATATTTTTAAGTTATATGCTTCTTCCTTTATATTTTTAATTTTAAAAATTTTCTTCTGCTAGTGTCTCTGTTGAATTATGATCTACATCACCTATCCAGCACATTATTTAATAAACTCATTTTGGAATAAGATCTGCCTTATAGTTTCTCAGTGATACCAGGCAGCTAAGTGACTCTGTCTTGCAGGCATCGAGTTAATCGCTGCGTTCTATGGCTGCCTATATGCGGGGTGCATACCTGTGACCGTCCGACCTCCTCATGCTCAGAACCTTGCTGCCACGTTGCCCACAGTCCGCATGATTGTTGATGTAGGTACCAAGTATATCTTGCCTTGTCCTCCTCTCACAAACTGAGGATCCATACTAACTTGCCAGTTCTTTTGAGTCAGGAAATCAAATCTCTCCTGTGAGAACTATCTCTTTTTCCTTAATGTGACCAAAGTGACCAGCACTATTCAGTGAAGGAATGTGGGAAAGTGGTTATTGGTGAGGTATAGAATTGTGTGCATTTATCATGAGCATTAAAGAAGTGAAGCTATCATTAGTTAATTCTCCATAAAACTTGTTTTACCCCCTCTTTTAAATAAATGTTCTAATATTTTTTCTACACAATAACTAAGATCATTTTATATGTCAAACCAAATTCTCCCCAGTTGTCAGGTCACTTTTATTTTTGTTAGTTTTATAAATTCAGTATATATACTGTTTGATATAGTATTAAAAAGTGTCTAGATCTTGCACTGGAGTTTCTAAAGGATGTGAGAATTGAAGAAAATAAGATAAATATTTATTGCATCATATCCTAATGTATTTTAAAGCAAAGAGTTACAAAATTCCAATTTATGTAACATTTATTCTTTTAACTGGAGCCTGTAGCGTAAAAGCCATGTTTACCATAGACGATTTTATTACAAAGTTCAGTTAAGCAAAATGCCCTTGTCATATCCTGCAAGGACAGCCAGAGCAGCAGGGACAGAAGTTTCCTTCCATTGACACAGTTTGTGTAGGAAGTCGGTCACTTTGCACTTCCATGTGAGCAAGAACAGTTAATTTTGGTGAGATGACAGAGTTCCTCAAGTTCAGGATATGTTCTGTGTCTAGTTAGTTTCACCATTCTCTAGACCGTTGCAAACACTAACTCCTTCAGAGATGACCATCTGACTTCTCTTATCCCCTGAGCACTACAAAATCCATGTTTTTATTTTATTATGGTCTTCATGGAACCAAAAGGTTGTGAGATCCATACTGAGTTAAATTACAACTATGGAATATTTGAGAATCACTGTTGTAAACAAAACCTGTATTGTAAATAAGTCCATCATTCTGAGGTGATTGTTGCCAAAGGGCATTACCACAAGGACAAATGTAAGAGGAAATACCTCCATTGTCCTGTGTGTGTTGTTTGAAAAGCTGATACTGTCCTGTCTGGTATGATGTGCAAATTTTGGAATAAGATCTGTCTTACAGATTGCTTTTGGCAGCAGCCAGAGCCTATGAAGCTACATGGGGACTAAGCCTTTTGGTGCTTATTTCTGTTCATTTGTTTTCTAGGTCAGCAAAGCAGCCTGCATTCTTACCACACAGACCCTAATGAGGTTACTGAGGTCCCGAGAGGCAGCAGCAGCTGTGGACGTGAAAACCTGGCCAACCATCATTGACACAGGTGAAGGGGAGATTTCTCCAGAACTGTTGAAGGAACATTTACTCCCTAGAAGTTCCTAGATTCTCATGCCAAAGATGTTTACATGGTTTTTATGTCACAACACATTCCCTCTGCTAAGACAGAGGCAAAACTTAATGCCCAGTAGCTTGCATTACCAAAAGGCTGGATACTGCAACAGCCAGGTCCAAAGAAGCAGATCACAGAATGCTTATGACTCTCAAAACAAAAAGTGTCTTGCTGTTACTCTTGGCATCATTAAACGGTGGTTAGGTTTTTATGCTGAATATCACCATATACATGTAAGGCCATATAAAATGTTGTGAAGATCTGATATAGTCTAGATTTAGATGTGATATAGTCCAAACAGTAATGGACAAGGAATCAGAAGATCTGGTTCTAGTTCGAGCTTCAGTAGTTCTCTGTATAACCTTGTCTGAGATTACCCTTTCCTAAAATACTACCTACTCTTGCCTGACTCACATATTTATTGAGGATATTAAATGCAATATAATATGAAAGTACTTAGAAAACCATAAAGTGCGTGAATTTTAGGTGGTATTCCTAATAAAGAAGGGCATAAGAGATGGCTGCCTGGAGAATGGTGGGGTAGGGGAGTGTGATTTGTGGAGTCAGGTAGACAGGATTTAAATCCTGATACTCTGTTCCTCTCTGAGTATCGTACCAGCCTGGGCAAAACTGCCTACAAAATGAGTTGTAAAGCACGTCACACGTAATCTTAACATCTTCAATTCAGCCCTTCACATGCGCCAGCCATCTAGCTTGTATTACCTGATTTTATCCTTATACCAACACTTTTAGATTGGTGCTATTTTCATCCTCATTTTACAGATAAGAAAACTGAGGCACAGGGAGGTTAAGTAAGTAGTAGCACTGAGATTCAAACCCAGTCAGTTTGGCTCCATTCCCAGCCTCTTAACCATTAATTTCCTCCTTAACCTATTTTCAGTAAGTGCCACATAGTGTCCACTTCAGGAACATTTACATGGGTTTTAAATGCAAGGATGAGATGTGTTTGTGGTTATTATGTGCCACATGCTGAACTAGATTTTTTTTTGTGCTTGTCACGTAAAGACATAAGCATAGTTATATATAATACATAACACAAACGGATTGTGTTGGTGTTATTGATGCAGATCCATCTACTATAGTTACTGGACTCAATCACATTTCAGGAGGCTTTCTTTAGGCACATGAGTAACCTTACCCTATACGGAGGTGGGTTGAAAGTGTTAGAGTCTGGTTTGACCAGAGTTGGGTGCCCAATGATGCAGAGATTTAAAAGTCAGAGTCAGAATTGTTTCTTGATCCAGAAAGTCAAAGGAGCCATTGAAGAGCCATGGTTAGGGTCAGAGACATCCTTGACATTTTTGGTTTTGACCTACTTAAAAAGCAAATTTAGGAGGAAGGAAGAGGTATATAAATAAATGAGCAAAGGAAAATAATTCCTAATTCTAGGTTATCATTCTTAAAAATCTGCCATGTGAACTTGGAGAAAAACGGCTTTTAAAGCAGTCCATGGTCGAGAACTCACACAGTGCTTTGCACCCTAACATTAAAAATAAAAAATAAATAAAAATAAAACAGTCCATGATTAATATAACCTGTAATAAAACTGTAAATAATGAACTTTAACTTGAAACCAGCAAAACAACAACAACTAAAGCTTTTGAGCACTTAGTTGTTTTCAGATTACTTTACGTGAATTAACTTCCCAACAATTCTATGAGAGTAGGTATTATTACCATTTTAGAGATAAGGAAACAGACACAAAGAGGTTAAGTAACTTCAAGGTCACATTGCTGGAAAATGGCAGAGCTGGGATTTGAACACCAGCAGTCTAGGAACTTTGGCATTATCTTTGACCACCAGACTAGGAACTTTGGCATTATCTTTAACTTCTATATCTTTATGTCTTACATCCAGTTAAGTATCATGTCCTTCGGTTCAGTTGTTCCTTAGTCCATGTTTTCAACTACTGTATTACAGTATCCCTCACTAACCTTCTAGTAAATACATTTGTCTGATGTAGATTTGCTTGTTTATTCTGTCTAACAGTGTCCTCAACCCCAACCTGCCTCTAGGAGTGACACATTTGAGCTGCTTGGTTAAATACAAGAAGCCTAAGCTTTATCAAATCCCAGAAACTAAATTAGGCCATAGCAAGTCCACAGAAAACCAACTGAAGAGCAATGATTTTTATGTTCTCATATCTCATTGACATCAGGATTTTTCTTTTCCTTGCAGATGACTTACCCAGGAAAAGGTTACCTCAGCTGTATAAACCACCCACTCCTGAGATGTTGGCGTATCTTGATTTTAGTGTCTCTACAACTGGCATGCTTACAGGAGTGAAGGTAGAGTAGTTGGGATATATTCACTCACTGGATGTTGGTAAAATGCTGGGCCTGCAAAAAATAGAGGTGACCACTGCCCCAAGGACTTCAGATGTAGAGGCCAACTGGTTATACCAGAGACCAGTAGGCGGAGGATCAAGGGTCCCTGCTATATTTAAATAAAAGCATCAGTTCTTCCGGAATAAGCTATCCCAAGGAATTTGTGTTATGCCATGTTCTGAACCTAGCATGGAAACTAACAGATAAGAGTTACAGTTAAAGCCAGTATGAAATCATAGACTTATATTTTATAAAACTCAGTATTGACTAATGAATAGAAATTTGTTATCCATACGTTAGACTTAGATTAGACTTTTTGAACCAATAAAAAATATACATTATTTTGAGGAGTTTGGGGGAATTGAAACTTCTTAAATCTCTCTTGGAGCTGTTTTTCTGCCTGTGGGATGCCAGTTCCATCCTGTTCCATGTTCCTTACTTTCCAGATGTCCCACTCTGCAGTCAATGCTCTTTGTAGAGCCATCAAGCTCCAGTGTGAGTTGTATTCCTCTCGGCAGATCGCCATATGCCTTGACCCTTACTGTGGACTTGGCTTTGCACTCTGGTGTCTCTGCAGGTAGGAATGGGAAAGCAAAGAAACAGAATGCACGGGCTTTGGGGGCTATGCCCATCTCATCCTTCCCTTTGCTCCCTTCATTTGGTAAAGTTTCAATAAAATGCTGATGTTTCTAGAATCTGTGCACCTAATACATCTCCGATGTTCCTTTAGTTTTGTTTGTATTCCCTTTTTTTTTCCTTTTAGTTTTATTCTTCATACAAAAGGTCAGTGATCTTATTACCTGCTCTCTGTTCCATTTTGTAATTCTCATTTTAGAAGCAGAGCCAAGTAGAAGGATGATACTTATGTGAAATATGTCATGCTTTGACAGCCAGAACACACCCCGTAGTCTTGGCAGGAAGGAATATAATGAGATAGCATGACAGCATGTGGCTGAAAAGTAACATGTCCATCCTGGCCAGAGTATTTCTTGTGGAATAGCATAGTTCCACTCCTTTCACTGTTCACCCAGGAAACCTTATCTCAGACCTACATTTTCACCTCCTAGGGGACATCTCCATGAATTCTTCACAGACGCGTTAGGATGGGATTATCCACTTAGGAGCCCAGACTAGGAACTTTGGCATTATCTTTAACTTCTATATCTTTATGTCTTACATCCAGTTAAATATCATGTCCTTCGGTTGTTCCTAAACCTATTTATACATAGGAATCACCTAGGGATCTTAAAAAAAAATTAATGGTCCTTTCCCAGACTTCCTATCTTAGAGCTCCAAAAGTGAAACCACAATTCTAGTATTTTTTAAATATAAGATTCTTGGGCTCCTGGCGATTCTGATTTATACTCAGGTTTAGGAAGTCGAGGACTCATGGCTGTAGATTATGCATATGATGTGTGACTCTGCCATTCCTTCCTTTTTATCTCGGCTGCACTGTTGGGGTTCAAGCCCTCATCATCTCTCACCTGGACTATTGCAGTCTCTGCTAACTGTCTCTCAACCTTCAGTGTCTCTCGTGTCTCCAATCCCTCCTCCATGTTGCTAGTTTTGCTCCAACGTAAAGCTACAATGACTGCCTGCTGGGTAAAGTCTAAATCCATCATATGATAGTTAAGCCCTTTCACAGTTTGACCCCAACCCTTCTGGCCTCACTTCTTACCACTCCCCCATGTATACTGTGCTCTAGTATTTCACACTGGGATACTACTTCTGACAAACTTAAACTCACCATGTAATTTTATCCTTCTGCATTTGCATATGCTGTTCCCCTGCCTGGAATGCTCTTATCACCATCCCCACTTCCTCCAGCCACTGTCAAATTCCTGCTCATTCTTCCAGCCCCAGCTCAAGTGTCACCTACTCATTAAAACACCCCCAGCCCCACCTTTCCCAATATGAATGACTCGCTCTTTTTTCTATGATCTTGATGTCCTCTGTTCACATCTCAGTTTCTGTGCATACCACAGTCTGCTTTATTTTGTATTTGTTGTATCTTGTGAGTTGTATACAAAGTTGATTCTTAGACCTTTATATCTAATATGATCTTATGCTGTTCTTCATACTCAGTAAATATTTGTCGAATTGATGCTGTTCTAAAACATCAAGATATCTAGAATGAACTGATAATGTCCACTCTTGCCTTTCTTTATTGCAGTGTCTATTCAGGTCACCAGTCTATCTTAATTCCTCCTATGGAGTTAGAAAACAACCTTTTCCTCTGGCTCTCCACTGTCAACCAGTACAAAATAAGGGATACTTTCTGCTCCTATTCGGTAATGGAGCTCTGTACCAAAGGGCTTGGAAACCAAGTGGAAGTGCTAAAGGTAAGAAGCAGCTACGACAAGTAGGCCGTCCTGAGAGGTTTTAAAGAAGTGGGCCAGGCATGATGATATAGAGTAGGGGTTGACAGACATAGCTGCTTGTTTTTTTCTAGGCAGTCTTACGGGTGTTTCATAAACCTCAGGAAATTCATCTCTTCCACTTTCTAATGTAATGCATTCTTTCAGGGTTTAATCTGAGTCTTTGTGGAGAAGAAGGTAAAACTGGTAGGGAGGCTGAATGGTAATGACTTTATGTAAAAACGAAAAGGAATTGTGACCTCCAGTAGGATTTTCCCATTAGAATTTGCAACCTCAGAATATTAGAGATTGGGGACTGCCCTAAAGACAAGGATAACTCATTCCTTGTGTATCCAGTAATCATGTGTCTGACTGGCATGTGAGAGAGTCAGAAAACACCGAATATTCTTTAATAAAGAAATATGACCTTAAGAAAGAAAAAAAAGAGACAAGAGATTTGCTCTCCAGGGTGCTAGTTTTCTTTTCCTTTAAGTCCCACCTCTCCAGTTTGAAATAGGAAGAAATCTAAGGTACAGAAATGGGAAGGGATAAAAATGGACTGCTGAAGAACCTTAAGGTTTTTAGATGAAAGAGAAAAGAAGTAGAACATGAGCACATTTACCAGCAGGTAATGACTTTCATGGAAACTTTTGTCTTCCCTCTGAGTGTCTGAGGTGAGAACACACAATTCCTTGGCTTTTCCTGACGCAGGAGATGGAACAGTTGTCCTATCTATTCAGTTCTTTTATGATCCTGCTAACTTGAGCTCATGTGCTTGGTGTCTTCCAGACCAGAGGAATCAACCTCTCCTGCATCCGGACATGTGTGGTGGTGGCTGAGGAGCGGCCCCGCATTGCCCTCCAGCAGTCCTTCTCCAAGCTCTTTAAAGACATCGGTCTGTCCCCTCGGGCTGTCAGCACCACTTTTGGATCAAGAGTCAATGTAGCAATATGTTTACAGGTGACTGTCACGAAGTCTTGCTTGGGAACAAATGGAAGGGAAAGGTATGGTAGTCTGGAGCAGAGGCTTCGAAGCCAGGCTGCCTGGCGTGAGCCCCAGTTTTACTGACTTGCTGTGGGACCGTGGGGTTTTTTATTTGGATTTTGCTATGCCTCATTTTGCTCATCTGTAAGATGAAGATAATAGTATCATCCTTCACAGGGCTGTTGTGTAGAATCACTGAGTTACTAGGTGCTATACTCTTGAAGCCATGTCTGGCATTTGAGCACCAATGTAGATGTTTACTCTTGGTAGTAGTTTTTATAGTCCATGACAATGACTGAAGACTTCTGAGTCTTATTGGAATCTTATTTTTATCTTACTTTCTGTCTCCTCCATATTTTTATAACAGCTTTTTGCAAAGGAAGCACAAATAAACCTGTATTCTTTCCTCCAGCCAGATAGTAACTTTGCCATATTATTCTTTGGTGGGTAAATAACAGAAAAGGGACTGAAATAACAGAAAAGAACTGGGTCTGATTTTATGTAGCTTGGAGGCTATTAAGGTAAATATAGGCATGGATGAGAATGAGAGTAAAAGATGGTAGCATACGTGGTGGATACTTTCAGGTATTCTGTGACCATGGTCAAGTGAATTTCAACTAGCATCATGATGCTTTAACCTTGAAGCTCAGTCACGGGCCCTTTGCCATTAGCTTGGGCCAGTGTTGGTTTCGAAAACCTGTGGATGCTGGCCTGTCTCACCCTTGCTTCAAATACAGAGATAAAGACTCTCCTTAGCCTGGTAACCTTTCAGTGCTGCTCTGGCCCCTGTGAGGAGGCCCATGGCCCACTCTCGCGAGGGAGAAAAGGAAAGAAACATGAAGCTAAAGCCAGGCCATGAAGTCTCTTTTAGGTGTCGACTGTACCCTGTGTCATCTGGTTGAAGAGAGGGTGGTGAGCTTTCAAAATAGAGTTGGATTTTTTATGTATATGGATAAATTATCTATTTCTCAATTTGAAAATGTAAAATATGGAAATATTGTTTATTTAAATAATGTATTGATTTACTTTTCTTTAGGGAACCTCAGGGCCTGATCCAACTACTGTATATGTGGATCTGAAATCATTAAGACATGACAGGTACAGTAGATTTATTATGTTCATTACCTAAACATAAAAAGTTCTGAGCCTCAAGAAAGCCAGCACTCTCCCTCATCCTTTTGTTTGTACCTTAGGGGGTGGGGGTAGAGGGAAGGAATTTATTTTTACTATTAATACTTGATAAGATTTACATTTATAAGAAGAAAGCTATAATACTCAGCTGCTACACTGTTCTTTAATATTAAGATGTAATACTTAGTTCCTATCTGTATAAAAGTATTTTGTAACGTTTGATATAAATTAAACTAATTTTTCCCCTGAAAGTTTAAAAATAAAAGATGGGACAGATGAGATAAATGAAGCAGAGTAGAGTTTTTACAGCAACACTTTATCAAAACCCCAGGAGTAAAAGCCTTCTTCCTAGTCAGCTCAGGGGAATTTTAGCTCCATCCCAAGGTGAGCACCTGGCCCGAGGGCTTTGGGACCCTTTCTCAAGTCCCATTGACCTTGACTCTGTGTTCACTGGTGTACTCCTGGCACTGATCCAGCCTACACAGGTAGGACATCTCCCTAGTGCAGTGGTTCTCAGCCTGGGGAGATTTTGCCCTCCAGAGGACATTTGACAACGTCTATAGACATTTTTGGTTGTCACAACAAGTGTGTTGCTACTGACATCTAGTGGGTAGAGGCCTGGAATGTTTCCGAACATCCTACAACACACAGGATAGCCCTTCACAAAAAAAACTATAACAAACATTATCTGATCCAAAATGTCAATAATGCTGAGTTTGAGAAACTCTGCTCTAGAGTAAGAAGAAGAGACAAATTAGAGGTCTTGGGAAGGCAATATATACCTTTAGTAGACGTGCAATCATTTTTTAAAGGATTATGTATAATAAATATTGTTCTTCTTCTGCAGAGTTCGTCTTGTGGAACGGGGTGCCCCCCAGAGTTTGCTTCTCTCAGAGTCTGGAAAGGTAATTTGTTCTGTTAAACATTGGGAAGGTAGTCTTTGTGGAGAAGTGGTTCATTTTAAAGAAACCTGAAGCCATGTAATATATTAGTATCCAGGGCAAGACTTAATTGAAATCTGGAGATGATTCAACAATTTCAACTGAGCCAGTACTTTCAAATTTACATGGGTACATAGACAAGAAGAATACTCAACTTGAACTTTCCTAATTTCCAATAATTTTTAAAAAATCCAACTGACGTGTTATTCTGATTTGACAGAACAGCAAAATTCAGTGTTCATTAAGTTCAAGATAGAGTGATGAGCAACACTTAAAAAGAGCCAATTCTATCTTTGTAAATGTCACAAGATGAAAAATAGAGGAGCAGTTAGGGGATGTAGTTTAAGATCAGAGAAGACATGCGTATTTATAGTTCAAAGAGAAATCAAAATGGAGAAGAGATTAAAGATATTTGAGAGTGATTATCTATTGGGGTAAGATTTCTTAGATTAGAATGGGGCTTTAAAATGTTCAAGGAGAGGTTTAGTTACTGTCATAGTCCATTTGGGCTGCTGTAACGGAATACCATAGACTGGATGGCTTACAAACAGCAGAAACTTATTTCTCACAATTCTGGAGGCTGGGAGGTCAAGAACAAGGCACTAGCAGATTCTGATGAGGGATTTCTGGTTCATAGATGACTGTCATGTTGCTGTGTCCTCACATGGTTGAAGAGACAAAGGAAATCTCTGGGTCTCTTTCATAAGAGCCCTCGTCCCCTCCTAAAGGCCCCACCTCCTGTTACCATCACATTGGGGGCTAGGTTTCAGACTACAGCAGTTTTGAACAATTTACTAAGGGTGTTTTAAAATCAGCATAAACAATCATGTTTCTCATCCCTTTGAATAGATTGTGATGATGCCTCAGAATCCCTTCTAGTAGTTCAGAAAGGCAAAGGCGAGGGGAAAATTGGGAAGGTAAAAAAGGATCCTGTCTAACCTATCCAGTGGTGGATCAACCCTATAGGGAGCTTACTTCAGTGTCACTCTCCTATTTAAACTCTTCGAAGTGGACTTGGGTTGATTTTATCATCTTATCAAATCATCTGCCTCCCCTAGTGGTTGGGCACCTCAAGGAGCCTTATATCATGGTGCCTGGCCCAGACTAGTGGGAATGGTCTTTTCTCTTCCTTCCTTAAGATTTTAGATGTATGAGCCAGATAATCATTGTAGGGTTTCTCAAGTAACTGCATACTCTAGAAAGCCAAGATGAAAATAGAGGTTTAAGGGGCAGGAAATGGGTAATCAGAGAGACCCTGAGCCATTTTCTCAGTCAGTACCTGTTTCTCCCCTTTCCCTCCCGAGGGAGATCCTGGGCATGTGATGTCTTTCCATTCTCCTGCAAAGCTGCCACTATGTCCTCCCTTACTCTTCAAGTTCCTCTAATTCTAGCACTCACTATAGACTGGAGCAGAGACTCTCAGGAGATCCCTCCCTGCTGCCCTTTCTGCTTCAGGGAGTTTTACCGCCATCAGTCCAGTGACCAGGATAGATCATGGAAAAGGGCAGTTACATGGTTAAGTAATTCTCCAAATTCTTACTGTTAGGTTCTGGTCTGAAGTTTCTCCTCCCTTTGAAGAGCAGTAGAATGATTGGTTCCTTGGTTCATTTTTGAGGATTAGTCTTATTGTACCTCTGGTTTCTACTGAGGATGATCCTGATCCTCTGAGTGCCATCTCAGTTAGCTCATGCCTTTGTGCATTCCTTTGCCTCACTAGAGGTGAGGGAGGGCAGGTAACTGCATTTCCTAGAGGTCATTAGAGTTAATCAAGTCTTTGTGTTTTCCCTTTGATTCTTAGATTTTACCTGGAGTGAAAGTGGTTATTGTTAATCCTGAGACCAAAGGGCCTGTTGGAGACTCTCACCTTGGAGAGGTATGTATAATTTTCACCTGTATTCTGAAAAGTCAGCAGCAAAAAGCTTTAGGGTTCATATTCTGGAAGTCATTGAAACTGGATAGCTTTTATCTCATTCTGAATTTGTAAGGCACAAGACTGAAATGGACAGAGGGGAAGATTGAGACCAGAATGGAGAGAAGATTTAGACACCCAAACTAGAACTAGTTCCAGATTTGTCCACTGACATTTTTTTAAATGAAAATTAAAATGGGCAGATCCTACCTCTTCTCACCTATTAAGGAGCCACAATATTAAATTTTAACAATTCATGCAAATTTTATGTTCTATTCCAAAATGTATCCATTTTTGTATTCGTATAAAATGTTTTTAAAGTCTTAATTTTTCTTCCCCTAAACCTTTGAGGGACACCAGTGTTTTATTCCATAGCTTACTGGGAGGACTATTGTAAGTACAGGAGCCAGATGCCCTGGGCTCTGCCAGTCTTCTCAATACTGGGCAAGTTAACCTCTCTGGCCTCACTTTCCTTATTAATAGATAATAATTTCACCTACTTCACCTATGTAGTAGAATTGCGTGACAATTAAATCCATTTATAACTGTATCTATAATGTATATGGAGCAGTGCCTGTCACATAATGAGTTCTCAATAAATACTAGTGTTATTACCATTGTGAGCTGTTGCTGTGTTTTCCTGGTAAATTCAAATACTTTGTAGTGTTTCCTTGAGAGCTTTATACCTTAGTTTCAGAAGCACAGAAATGATCCCGTGATGCCTCTGGGGGACTCCTAAAGAGGCTGAAAAATGAGCCAGGGAGGCAGTGTAGCGTCATGCTTGAGCCTGCGACATAGGCTTAGTATGAGTCTCCTAGTTTCTGCATTTTAGGCAAGTTACTTAACTCTTTGTTTTTTTAATCTGTAAAATGGGAATAACCATAGTATGAACTATATTGTCATGTCATGTATGTCAGGATTGATTGAGATAAGGCATATAAATAAAATACCTCACCGTTCAGCACATGGTAAACATTTGAAATGTCAGCTGCCTTTATTGTTGCAGTTGTGTTGTTGTTAATGTAAAACCTCAGCCTGCCTTTGGATTAAAAAACTACAGTCATCTGTCCCAAGATAATTGAATTGATACATAGTACATGTTCCTGGTGAAATGTGATCGATGACCTTTTCTTATTGTAGATTTGGGTAAACAGTCCCCATACAGCCAGTGGCTATTATACCATCTACGATAGTGAGACTCTTCAAGCTGATCATTTCAACACTCGCCTCAGCTTTGGGGATGCTGCTCAGACACTCTGGGCTCGGACAGGATACCTTGGTTTTGTCCGCCGAACTGAGCTCACAGCAGCTACTGGAGGTATTTCCCACACCAACTCTTCCCCTTTGTCCTGCTTGCATTTCACAGTAGCACCGGCTGGCCTTCCTCTTCCTGCCTTTGGGTTATGGAGTGAGTGAGTGAGTGAGTGAATGAGTGAGTGAGTGAGTGAGTGAGTGTGTGCGTGTGTGTGTGTGTGTGTGTGTGTGTAATTACTCCCTCCTACGATTCTTGTACCCATATTCATATTCATTTGAAATAAGACTTTGCACCTGAAAAGCACCTAGAAGGTAAGCAGCTGCGGCACCAGGTCAGCACTCCTGAACTGTGGATTATTCGCACAGCCACAGTCATAGGGATATGCCTGATGAGCAGTGAATGCCCAGGGCAGAACACATAATCCTGAACGAGCTCCTGACCAGGTATTTCATAGCTCTTGTAGCTCTTCTCCCATGTACCATTTTGGGAGCAAGAGGAACAGTCCTAATCCCTGTGAGGGGAAATCAGTGTGGAGGTGTCATCATGTCGAAGTGTTCCTCTGTCCCTTCGGAGTCTCATGTTGGGTTCCAGACTGCTTGGAAAGGCTCTGGTGTAAGCCATTGCTCCAGTCATCCTCTGCCCAATTGATTGTCATGGCTTCACTGCTGTCTGCCTTTAACCTGCCTTCCTGGTGGCATGAATAGCCATTTAAAAATACCCAACCTTAACTGTATCATGCACTTTAAGAACCAATACAAATAACTCACTGGACTTGAAAGGCCTAAATCGAGCCTTGGCTCCTTGCATTTTCTATACCAACCAGTGTCCATAGTTTCTCCATAATTCGTGGGGACACAGGATAATATTCTGGAGAAGAGGGAAGTATCCCTTGCCAGGTGCCCTGGTTTTGAAGCCTACCTCTGCCATTTGCTATGTGACCTTGAGCAATCACTGAACCTGTTGGTTTCTTACCAAGAAGTCAGGAGTGACAGTGTATCCAGCCTTGTGGAAATGGTGTGAGATTAAATGACATGATGCATTTAACAGTGCCTGGCTTATAGAAAGCACTCACTAGTCATTAACTACTGTGTTTCTGTTGTTTCGTTATTACCATCTTTATGGGCTCTTCCTCGTGTTATGGGAACTTTGCTGGACCTCCTCCTCCTCTCTCCTACAGGTTCTAGAACTTTGTTTTGCTGAATTTTTTAGAAATCTACCTTTTCCTGAAAATACTATATTCAGCAGACCTAGCAAAGTCATCTCCAAAATGTTTTATCTATGTAGACATAAACCGTGTAGCCTTATGTATACAGTATGTGCATAAAACCTTTTTTAAAAAATGAGATTTCTACAAGGTCCTAACCAAATTACAACCCTATGAATAATCAGAACTACTCTCTTTATATTCTGTAATCCCACTCCTTATACCTGGATTTCTTGACGATATCTAGAAACAGTGATACATGTCCATTTCTTCTCCATCTCAGATCCTCTCTCTCCTCCCTCCAAACCTCCTCCAGCCATCATCTGGCTAATTCCTACTTACCCTTAAAATCTCAGTCTGGCTTCAGCTTTTCCAGGCCTCTCCTGAACCCTTGAGCAGAGCTCAGGGGGTGTCTTCTGCTCCCCTCATACCTTATGCATGTGCCTATCACTGGGTTTACCATGTTATAGTACACACCTGTTTGTTTGTTTGTTCGTTTCCCCCACTAGACAGTAAGTATCCAGAGCAAGAATTGTGTTTTGTCATCTTTGTCTCCTCAGCACCTGTCACAATTCCTGGCACATAATAGTAATAGTCGTCGTCGTAAACAATAGTAATGATAATAGCTAATTTTTAGCACTTATGAGGCATCATAAACTACCTTACATGGATTATCTTATTTAATCTTCATAGCAGTCTCACAGAGGGGAAAGCAAGACTCAGAGACGTAAGTGATTTGCCCAAAGTTACACAGCTGGTGAGTGATGGAGCCAGGTGATGGGGCTGGCAGTCCGAACCTTGTGCTCTTAACTCCAACACTGTATTGCACTCAATATGTGTCTGATGAACCACATTTCTCTTTTCTCTGTCAGAACGTCATGATGCATTATATGTGGTAGGAGCTCTGGACGAAACGCTGGAGCTAAGAGGATTACGATACCACCCAATCGACATTGAGACCTCGGTGGCACGGATCCACAGGAGCATTGCTGAATGGTAAATCCCCCCTACAGAACAGGCTTCCCATCTCAGTTGTAGTATCAAGTAAAATTAATCTGAGTAGTCAGCTGTCTGCACCAGATACCACCTACAGACACAGAGCTCCAAGGGGACTAAGAAAATAAACAGACTGATTCTTGTCCTGGTGTGCCATCTGCTATGGCAGATGAGGCCATGGAGATACTGAGACAGGCTCTAAGGGACCACTGTGGAGCTGAGTCCTTCTTAATGATAGAGTCTTACCGTTGGAAGGGATTTAACTGATGATCTGCCTCTGGAAAGTCTGTGTAGTACAGTGGAAAGAACCATGACTTCAAGGTCAAAAAACCCAGCTTAAGGGCCTAGCTCTTCCATGTAGGCTGCTTCCCTCATCTTTAAAATACTTTCTCTGTCATTTCTTGACTTTTGGAAAAATCAAATGAGAATGTGCTTATAAACTGTAATAGTAAGCAGATAAAAAGGATCATTATTTTTATCTCATCCAATTTCCCTCCCAATGCAGGAAATTCCCCTATGTTATCCCTGATAAAGGATCATCTAACCTCACATTGACTTAAAATTTCTTAAAATTGAAACTGTAATTTTTTCCTATTGGCTTTCATTCTGGATTCTCAACAATACAGAATTCATCCAGTTTCTTTTCTATATATTTGTTATTGTGTCTTTACTCATTTTTTGTTTGTTTTCCCCCTTGCTAAACAGATACAGTACTTATAATGGTTGCTTATGCTTTCCAGATGCTTCTCTGTCTAAAAATATTCTCACTTTGGTCAAAGTCTCTCCCCAGACATAATAATACTCATGAGATATAAGAACAATGCAGAGAAGCTGGGTACCATGGTTACCCTCTAATTTCAGATATTTGACTTTTAACGCAACCAAATATTGTATACATTTTTTAATGATTGGGTTCTATTTGTTAAAGCAGTATAACACTGCATATCACAAGTCAAGTCATAACCTCTAACCCAGCAATCCCTCTCAGAATAAGATGACTTTCTACCTTAATGGCACTTTTATGACATAATAAGAGAGACACTTGTGTGGGCACGCAGTTCAGATGAAGCCAGGCTGACCCCCTTCCTGTTGGGTATAAGAATGTTATCTTAGTCGAAGATCTTATGCTGCAAATAAAGATGCTCTTTTCAAAACACCATGCAAAAGAGAGTTAATGCAAAGAATAACTGGCTATCTCAGAATTTCCTAAAAGTCTCCAACTAACTCTGTCTGGATCTCCAGAAAAGTAGAAAAAAGGCCATCAGGAACCATTATTCTCTTACTCTCTAGAGCCATGTGGGCATTCACTTCATTCTTTCTCTTCTCCCTGAAGAGCCAGTCTCTGTGCTTCTCTGCATACCTGGCTACCCCAGAACTTTGAAGTTTATATGTCCTTAGTTCAGGTGATCAGATAACAACTTTCAATCCCACTTCCAAACCCGAAAGGGATTTTGGATGGCTCAGCTAATCAACTGTGATCGTAGGGACAAGGTTATATATTACAAATGTGGCTGCTAGCCTTCTGATTGGATCCAAGAGAGACAGCAGTTCTCAGGGAAGTGGGCATAAGTTTTGGGCAAATACTATAAAAGATGACTGCTAAATGTAATGGCATGTTAACTGATTGTCATTGAAATTTCAGTGCCGTGTTCACGTGGACCAACTTGCTTGTGGTGGTTGTGGAACTGTGTGGCTCTGAACAGGAAGCCCTAGATCTGGTTCCTTTAGTGACAAATGTGGTCCTGGAAGAACATTATCTCATCGTTGGCGTCGTGGTTGTGGTGGACCCTGGTGTTATCCCCATCAACTCCAGAGGAGAGAAGCAAAGGATGCACCTCCGTGACAGCTTCCTAGCTGACCAGTTAGACCCCATTTATGTGGCTTACAACATGTAACTGGCCTTGAGGAGATTACAGGGGGCTACCTTGAAAAACCACAAGGACCAAAGACCCATACTAAGAGCAAACTTTCAAATGATGTGAAATAAGCTGAGATGGCTACATTATATCCTTCATCTCATCCTGTGGGATTCTGCAATCACATGACACACAGGAAAGGGGAATTCAGTGGTGGCAAATGATAAAAATGTTAACAGTGTGTTAGTCATGAGCTTTGACATAGCGTGAGCAGCACGTTACTAAAGCAATTACATGCATGTTGCATATTTTGCATCTGTTGTATATACTTGTATTTTTCTCTAATGCCATTTTAGAATTTTGTAAGGGAGATTAATGAATTCACATAAAGGGGGTAGTCTGAGTTACACAGTTACCCGCTCTGTACTGTATTGCCATTTTACCGTAGCTAGACATTCTGCGGGTTTTGTTAACATGGAACTACTCAGCTTACTTTGTTAAGCAAATCAGATAACCCATAAGCAAATCGGATAACCCACTGAATATGAGAATTACTTTATATGTATAATTCTTGAGTATAAAACATTTTGACCAGTGTTTTAAACATGTAAATAAGAATACACATAACTTAGCTAAAAAAAAAAAAAAAATTTTTTTTTAAGAATTGGCTTGTATAGTTATAACAACCAAATTAGAAACATTTCTACTTAGAGAGAATTTCAGTATTCTCTTAATGTGGTGTAATTGGATAACTAGAAAGTGCAAATTGTTTGCAGGTTTTGCTACACATTGTGCTATGTCTCTGTTGGCTAGTGTATTTTATAAACTAAAGCTGCCTATGTTTGTTTTTAAAAGCTTGCATTCCAAGAATCAGCTTAAGCTTTTAAGAATTCAGCCTGTTTCTACAAGCTGAAAAAAAAAATCTGTTTAAAAATCAAAATGTTATGAAAAAGCTAAGATTCATTAGATCCCACCCTTTTCTAAGGAACCACAATAACTCACTCTGGTCCCCAGTGTTGAAACTGTCTTTCAAATTAAGAGTGATGCATAAGAATTTAGAATTTCCTCTTTTTCCAGGCCCTTTGTAAACTGTATCTACAGTTTATACATATAGCTTCTCTTTTCCAAAAACTGAAGAGTGTCCTCTGTTTTTCCAGTTCATGAGGGTCAGGATTTTAAGAACAAGAATAGGCTGAGAAGGCAGTGGGATCAACATCACATGAAACCATAAGGCCACATAACTATACATCTCAAAACTGACCAATTTGTGTTGCCAAAATAGCCAGGCTTATGCTGAAATAGGGGAAGTCTGATGTATGCAAGAAACTCTTTTGAAATAACTGGTGCCCAGGCCAAGTGGACTGAGCCTAGGACTGAGTTTGGCCTCTGGCTCGGTTTCCTTTCTTTGGTCTGATACTTCATGTATTTGAATATAGTTGAATTTTATTATTTTTTTCTTACAGAAATATTTTTAAAAATTAAAAAAAATCAAAGTGAACAGAGTTAACATGTTAAATCAGAATGGTTCTCTTTGATCCACTCTGGTCTATTGTGTAAATATTTATTTAGACTATTTTAATAATACATATTATTTACCCCACTGTAACATCATGTAAACTAAATATGTTTTTAAACAATTTTTAAGACTTGTAATTACCCTGAAAATAAGGTTTATAATGCAAAGACCACACCCTTCACCATGGCAGCACTCTTGGGGGCTGCCCTTACACAATCTGTGACTCCCTTTTGACTCCCTTTTACATAATCCTCTTTTCCTCCCACCTCATTCTCCACAGAGGGCAGACCTCAAGACATTTTCCAGTTCCACATCTCTTTTTCAACATTTTGGATGAAATTAATTTACACGTGATGGGAGAGGTTCTAGAATGTACAGAAAAACACTTACATTGGGGCAAGAAATCTCAGTGACTAGCAGTGGTTTGGTTTGCAGAGAAAACAGCCTGCTTATTTGGAAAGTTACTTTCTTAAAACAGTTCTTACTGATTCACTAAACAAAACAAGGGACCCTGAGGAATAATTAATTCTATCTCCATAATCCACAAGTTTTAAGAAAAAAATATAGGCAATCTATCCTATGGGTTGCTTTGGTCATTCTTACTACATAAGTCAGGGTGTCTGCCAGAAGTATCATATAAGCCACATCTGTCATTTTAAAATTTCTAGTAACCACATTTTAAAAAGTATAAAAGAAACTGGCAATATTGTTTTATTTTATTTAACCCAATATATCAAAAATATTATTTCAATGTGGAATTAATGTAACAAATTAATGAGATGTTTTACTTTCTTTTTTTCCTATTAAGTCTTTGAAATCCAGTGTATTAAAGTCACCTCTGTTCGAACCAGCCATAGTTCAATTTGTCAATAGCCACATGTAGCTAATGGCTACGATATTGGACAGTGCAGATTTATACTCATTCTTTCAAATAAGATAATCCATTAATCTCAAAGTGTGGCCGATTCCTAGTTACTTAGGGGCTGATTACCTAGTTTTATAGTTCCTCAGTCTTCTGATTTCTCTTTATTTTTGCATTCTGGCTTGTGGGTGATTTATTGATCTTTTGCACGTCCCCAAAGCCAGAATATGCTTGTGGAGGAAAGAAAGCTGAGACGTGTCTTTGGGGAGCTTCATCAGTAACTCTGGTAAAATACCTCTGGAAGGGGAAGAGAGCCCAGTCATTAGCTTAGAGGGATTTGTGCCTAGTCTGTTGCAGACTTGAATAAGAAAACTTTCTCTTGATGATGACACAATGTTCTTGCTCTTTCCACATTAATTAGAACCTTTGTGGTAAAATGGACTCTTAAGACAGACCCAAAAGGCCATTTATTAATAGAAATATTCTCACCAAAACTCTGGAACACCTTCTGTCTCGATTTTTATGCCTGTGATAAAGAAAACTAAATTAATAGCAAGCCCTTGTTTCAGTTAAGAGAAATCTATTGATCTGAAAGTTGTTGAGCCTCTTTCTGCCTCTCAGCAGAAGTAACTGAAGTAGGTCAAGAAAGGGGATTCCTCCGGAAAATTCCTAGGCCCTGGGGATTCTCAGAGCTGCACAGATGCCATTTCCTGCATCAGTGAGACCCTTGGAAAGACCAGCATGCTAATGGGCATCAGTGAATCCAGTCATTACTTCCTGCCTTTTAAAGGGTCCTGGTTCTCCCAGTACCAAGTTATTTCCTTATGAAGCTGTGCTGCCTCAGGCTATTTAGGGACCATTACCTGTCTATGAGTATGTTTCCTTAACTTCAGTCCCTGGGCAATGCTTGCTTAATGCTTGTGTTGAATCAACAAAGGGCCTGAGGCCTTAGGGTTTTTGTTGTTGTTAAGGTCTCTGCCCCAGGCATGGTGCTCAATATCTTGGCCAAATAAATTACTTTCCTTGAATATCTGGGAATCTTTTAGACTAAAGCGATGAGGAGTTAACACCTCACCCTCAAACTCCAACTGATCTATGCCTTAGTGTTGTTTTTGTTGTCTGCTTTGATGTAAAAGCAAGAGTATTTGAAGCAAGACGATTCAGTACTCCAAATATACAATAGGCCTTTTCTTTATCATTCATACATTTCTGGATTGTAGATGGGCCACGTTATTTGTCCAGAGGAAGAGAGTGTAAAGATATAAGAATAATTTTTTAGTCCTAAATTGTTTACTTTCTGTCAAGATATTTACCAGTGTCAAATTCAAACTATAGTGCTGTGTAATTATGTATAAAGGTTTTTTTATTTATTTGAAATTAGACTAGATATACATTTTTAAATTTAACATCTGGCTGGACAGTGTTCTATTAACTCATTGAATGTTGTTTCCTTTGTCTTGTGTTAATAAATATTGATGCCTGATTGTGTCTAATTCTTCACATATTGGGAGAATTGATAAATTGGAATTGATAAATCCTAAATTTAACTTCAGATGGTAAGACTCAAATATAGCTAGAGTGGTCCAAGGAAAGTGAACACCGAGATCAAGCAAAGCAAATCAGTGCTATAAAAGGAGACCAGCTCAAGGAAGAGAGTCATTTTGAAAACTGAGAAGGCTTTAGTCTCAGGAACAGTTACAGCTTAATTTTCTTCTTACCCAGGTAGCATTTGATAGTTTTAAACTATTGATTGGAAATTTTAATTCTTTCTAATCTGTAATTGGGCTGGATTTCAGCCTTTCCTAAAGTAATACTTCATTTGCTCTTCCATTTTCTGGTTTCAAGAAACGTTATGGGAGCCTATTGAATTTGTGCATGTTCCCAGACACTAAAACTGGTCCCTGAATTATGGTTCAAGCTATTTAAGCAGCTGAGAACTTTTTTTTTTTAACACATGTATTGAATGCCTGCCCAGTTAGAACAAGGCAGTGCAATAAGAACTGAAGCTAGAGAGAGAAAAATATCAAGTCACTACCCCCAAGGAAATACAGGAAAACAGTAGCGTAAGGATTACAGGTAGAGGTGGACTCTGGGAGCAGGTGGGATAAGCGCCCAATCCAATGAAGAGGGAGAATAGTGAGGAATATATGCTAGAGAAGGTAACATCTGAACTGAGTTTTGAAGGTTGAGACAGCCAGATAAGATTGAGACAACAAAGGGGAAGATGAGGCTGCATATGATGGGAACTACAATTCATTAGTAGGATGTAGGGTTTGAAGGGAGAAAAGTAAAAGATAGTTATCTATGGAAGTTTGAGCCAAGGACAGATCACTAAGGGCCTTCTATATGACGCTAAGAATTTTGGACTTTTATCCAGAAGACCAAAGAGAGCCATTGAGGGATTTATAGCAAGAGAAGAACATCCTCAGATTTGCAACACAGATCATTCTGGTAGTCATACAGAAAATGGATTGGTATGGATAGGGAAGAAGGGACTATAAAACCTGAGGCAGGGAGACCAGTTGGGAGGTCTTGGAATAACTGCAGTGACAGAGCAAGAACATTTCAACCACTGCAGTGACAGGATGTGACAGGATGGAGATGAGAGGCAATATGTGCAATATGTCATGTGCATTGGGAGTCAGTAAGATTTCAACCACTGAGTATTCGGGGTTAGGAAGGAGGAACTCAGATAACTTCTAGGTTTCTGACTCGGGAAGTCAGGTAGCTGTGGGGCTATTTATGAAGACAGAGAACAAAATATATTTGGGAAAGAAGATGCTATGTTCCATTTTGGTCATGTGCATTTGAGGTGCTATGGGACATGTAAGTGAAGAAGTCCAAAAGGCAGCTAAATATTTAGGTCTCTGCCTCAGGAGAACTCTGGCCAAGAACTAGATATTTGGGAGACATCCTTTTAAAAGTGGTAGCTGAAAACAATGGAAGTGGATGATACTGCCAAGGAAGATCATGTAGAGTGAGAAAAGGATCAATAACGGGAGCATTTAAAGACTGGTGGAGGAAGAAGTCTACAAAAAGTAAGGGAATAACTGGACAGATGGGGCAAACCAAGAAAGAACATGGGCACAGAAATCATAGTGTTTTAAAGAGGAGGGAGTGGTCAACAATGCCAAAGGCTTCAGTGATGCTGAGTAAAAGAGGGACTTGCTAGCATCTGCTGTATATATATGGTATCTAGGCAGTCACTGGTGTGACTGGTCAGAACTGACTGCAGTTGCAGCTATGGGAGCAGAAGACAGAAAACTTGTTCGAGAGAGGTGTGATGGGAGGTGTTACTGTGCAGAGGCTACTCTTTCCAGAAGCTTTAACTGTACATAGGAAAGAAAAAGAACAGTAGTTAAAAGAGGGAGGCTGCATTCCTTTCAAAGATGGAATAAAAAATTTTCTGCGTTGGGGAAAGAGCTAACAAAGTTTCCAAATATAGCAATGAGGGGTAATTGACAAAGCAAGGTCACTGAGGAAGAAGGGGTGGGATGGCAAGTTAGGTTTCTTTGTGTCTTTTTTCTCACTTCTGAAGTCCAAGATTTCTGTTTTCTTCATCTAGTTATTTCTCAAGGTTCACAAGAGTGATAGGTACAGCTTGTTACACTTCCATAAGAGAATCAAGGACTGTGGGAATATTTATGAGTGGCAGTGTTGCACAGCATAATACCTGATTTAGACTTAAGACATTACAGGTGGAAGAGGAGCTAAGTAGGGAGCGG